ATATCTGAGAAGGGACTCATATCCAGAACATAAAGAACTCTCACAACTCAGTACTAAAAAGACAACCCAAGTTTTTAAATGGGCACAGTATTTAAATAGATATTTCTTCAAAGAAGATACCCAAACAGTCAATAAGCATATGAATATATGCTCAAAGTTGTTAGTTTTTAGGGAAATTTAAATTAAAACCACAGTGAGATACCACTGCATACCTTCTAGGTTCTGATCAGAAAGATAGGCAATACACCAGGCACGGTGGCTCACGCCTGTATTCCCAGCACTTTGGGACGCCAAGGTGGTCAGATCACCTGAGGCCAGGAGTTCGAGACCAGCCTAGCCAACATGGTGAAACCCCGTCTCTATTAAAAATACAAAAATTAGCTGGGCGTGGTAGCAGGTGCCTGTAATCCCAGCTACTTGGGAAGCTGAGGCAGGAGAATCGCTTGAACCTGGGAGGTGGAGGTTGCAGTGAGTCGAGACTGTGCCGTGGCTCTCCAGACTGGGCAACAAGAGTGAAACTCCATCTTTAAAAAAAAAGGTAGACAATAACAAGTATTGTTAAGGATGCGGGTAAACTGGACCTCTTAGCTGGGCATGGTGGCTCATGCCTATAAACCCAGCACTTTAGGAGGCTGAGGTGGGCTGATTGCTTGAACCCAGGAGTTCAAGACCAGCCTGAGCAAAATGGCAAAACCCTGTCCCTACAAAAAAATACAAAAATTAGCCAGGCGTGGTGGTGTGTCCCAGCTACTCGAGAAACTGAGGTGGGTGGATCACCTGAGCCCCGAGAGGTCGAGGCTGCAATGAGCCATGTTGATGTCACTACACTGCAGCCTGGTGACAAAGTGAGACTCCGTCTTCAAACAAACAAACAAATAAATAAAAATTAGAACCTTATTCACTGCTGGTGGAAATCTAAAATGGTACAGCCACTTTGAAAAGCAGTTCTTTGAAATGTTAATCATAGAGTTTTACTATATAACTCAGCAGTTTCACTCCTAGGTATATAACCATGTTGACCAAAATTAAGGGTGTCAAGGCAGAAATAATTTGATTTATTGGAAGCCAAATGTGAGGATCAGCCTGGGAAGAGACATCAGCAAAGTAGGGCATGTCCTGGAGTCTGCTGCAAGTTGGAAGGCTCTTATAAGAAAGTTTAGGAAGACTGGGTGTGGTGGCTCATGCCTGTAATCCCAGCACTTTGGGAGGTGGAGGCAGGAGAATCACTTGAGGCCAGGAGTTCAAGACCAACCTGGGCAATAAAGCAAAACTCCCTCTCTATAAAAATAACAATGTAAAAATTAGGCAGGCATGTGGCGCACTCCTGCAGTCCTAGCTACTTAGGAGGCTGAGATGAGAGGATTGTTTGAGCCCAGGAGTTCAAGGCTGCAGTGAGCCATGAATGCACCACTGCACTCCAGCCTGGGTGACAGAGTGAGGCCCTATCTTTTATTAAAAAAAAAAAAGGTAAGTTTAGAAGAGAGGGGAACTCCTCATATTAGAGCTTTCCATTTTCTTTCTTTCTCTCTTTCTCTCGCTCTCTTTCTCTATTTCTTTCTTTCTTTCTTTTTTTTGACATAGAGTTTCGCTCTTGTTGCCCAGGCCAGAGTGCAGTGGCACGATCTCGGCTCACCGCAAACTCCGCCTCCTGGGTTCAAGCGATTCTCCTGCCTCAGCCTCCCGAGTAGCTGAGATTACAGGCATGCACCACCGTGCCCAGCTAATTTTGTATTTTTAGTAGAAATGGGGTTTCTCCATGTTGGTCAGGCTGGTCTTGAACTCCCGACCTCAGATGATCTGCCCTTCTCAGCCTCCCAAAGTGCTGGGATTACAGGCGTGAGCCACCATGCCCGGCCCAAGCTTTCCACTTTTAGTGGAGTTTATAATACAGAGGTTATGATCACTGACTACAGATGACAACATATGGGCTAAAATGTTTTAGCACAAGACAGTCAGTAAAACGTCATGATTCAGAAGCAAATCCGCGTCCTTTTCAGTGTCAGTGGGCTATGTATTAATCAGTATATCAACACAGTAAGATTGGAGGGAGTCACGATAAGACTCTCTACTGAGGGACAGGATGTAAGCCATGCATTGTGAGACCTTCCCCAGGTGGTTAATTTGGAAGCCTGCCAAATGTGACATGTGAGGTAAGAGATGAAAACATGTCCACACAAAAACTTGTGCATGAATGTTCATTGCAGCATTATACACAATAGAGAAAACATACAAACAAATGCAATACCCAAAAGCTGGCAAAAGGTGGTATATCCATATGATGGAATGTTAGTCATAAAAAGGAATGAAGTGGCCGGGTGTGATGGCTCACGCCTGTAATCACAACACTTTTTGGGAGGCCGAGGTGGGTGGATCACAAGGTCAGGAGATTGAGACCATCTGGCTAACACGGTGAAACCCCATCTCTACTAAAAATACAAAAAATTAGCCAGGCGTGGTAGCACGTGCCTGTAGTCCCAGCTACTCAGGAGGCTGAGGCAGGAGAATCGCTTGAACCCAGGAGGTGGAGGTTGCAGTGAGCCGAGATCGCACCACTGCTCTCCAGCCTGGGCAACAGAGAGAGACTCCGTCTCAAAAAAAAAGAAAACAAAAACCAAAAAGGAATGGAGTGCGGATACGTGCCGCAATATGAACACATGTGAAAGACAGTATGCTGAGAGGGAGAAGCTGGTCACAGAGACCTGCATGGAATGATTCCATTGAAATGAAGTGGCAGGCAGAGCCATAGAGACAGAAAGCAGATGAGTGGCTGCCAGGGGGCCGGGGAGGAAAGAATGGGAGTGTTTAGACATGTTTAAATGTGCAAATCCTTACCATTGTGTCACAGTTGCCTCCAGTATTCAGGGCAGCCAACATTGCACAAGTTTGTAGCTTAGGAGCCACAGGCCATACCCATGCAGCCTGGGTGTGTGTAGGTGGCACCGTCTAGGTGTGGGTGAGTGGCCGCTGTGAGGTTCCCATCACCGCAGAATCGCCTCCTGATGCCTTTCTCAGACCCCCTCCCCATCATTAAGTGACTCGGGACTGTGTTTTCATTTCTTATTGTACCAGCCCTAAGACACAGGCCAGGCAGCTCCGAGTCCTCAAGTCTGATGGCTGATAAGTTATAAGCCAGGCCTCAGGCCCAGCGCTCTGCTTCCTCGTCTCACACTCTGCCCACGCGCTCTCTTGCGTGTGGATGATCTTCACCTTTGATAAAAGCAGCTCTTCCAGTCTAGAGCAGTGTGAATTCTAGCTAAGGCCCGTGTGGATCTGTCTCAGGTTCCATTTTCTGTACTCATCACCTATCAAATGACACCGAGGAGAAGGCCTCGGGACTTCAGGACCTGAGTTTAATTCATAGATATTTTCTCCCAGCACCTAGAATTTGACCAGTATTATTTGTTGTCACAAAGCTGTTGAACCTTGGCCCCATATTTTGGAGATGGAGAGGTTAAATTGTTCTTTACACTGCTGAGGTGTACACTAGTAAGACTTACTGTTCTCTGCATTGGATGATCTGCTCTCGGCCTTCACTCACGTGTTTGGTAGGAAAAGTCGACCGGTCTTATTTTGGGCAGCACCCTCCTGGTCACTAGGGTTGTATGAGAGTTTCAGGGTCGTCTATAGCCTGGAACAGCTATGAAAGGGGTCTGTAATCAGCCATCCGTGCTGTTCACCATCCGTATGGTCCTATGAAGGCAAACAATTCACCGCTTCTGTATGAAGTATAGCCTCATGCGACTTTGTAGAGATAGGAAGCGTTGGACCTGGAAGCCGGTCTTACTGGGTATTCCATTCAAAGCTGGATTCCAGCAGGATGCTGACCACTGTCAGTCCAGGATCACACAGGCCTCCACCCTCTGAAGGGTGTCTCTCGGCCAGGTGTAGTGACTCGTACCCATAACCCTAGTGCTTTGGGAGGTTGTGGAGGGAGGATCCCTTGAGGCCAGGAGTTTAAGACCAGCCTGGGCAACACAGCCAGACCCTTGTCTCTACAAAATCAAAATAAAAATTAGCCAGGCATGGTGGCACACACCTGTGGTCCCAGCTACTCAGGAGGCTAAGGTGGGAGGATCACTTGAGGCCGAGAGTTTGAGGCTGCTTTTAACTGTGATTGTATCACTGCACTCTAGCCTGGGCAACAGAGCAAGACCTCATCTCTAAAAAAGACTAAAAAAACTGCCTCTTGTTACGGGGTTGGCCCACTTCTTCCTCTCCAATCCCAGGTGCCCTTCCCCACCTGAGGCTCCTAGAGGTAGGAAGTAGGTGGGCTTTCCTCCTCAACCCCCTAAAGAAGGGGGGTGTCCTTTAGGAACTGGGGTCTATCTTTTAGGAACTGGGCAGCATCTTGTTTTGGTCTTTCACTACTCGAACTCTAAAGTTTTTGGCCAGGCACGGTGGCTCACACCTGCAATCCTAGCAATTTGAGAGGCTGAGGTAGGCAGATCATCTGAGGTCACGAGTTCAAGACCAGCCTGGCCAACATGGTGAAACCCTGTCTCTACTAAAAATACAAAAATGAGCTGGGCATGGTGGCACATGCCTGTAATCCCAACTACTCGGGAGGCTGAGACAGGAAAATCGCTTGAACCTGGGAGGCAGAGGTTGCAGTGAGCCGAGATTGCACCACTGCACTCCAGCATGGGCGACAGAGCGAGATGCCATCTCTAAATAAATAAATAAATAAAGTTTCTGAGACAAGGAACACAAAGGCATGGCTACCTTCCTGAAGGGAAGAGGCCAGTACCTACTTCAGTCCCTGCTTAATATCCTAACGTATTGAATTAGGTTAGATTTACAAAGTACGTAGAGCAGTACCTAGCACGTATAAACACTGTTAAATATATTCTTTTAGGTGTGTTCTCGTGAGTGGGTGAGCAGGGATAAACCTAGGGTTCTTCACTGTCTGTCTTTATTCTCTAGAAATATTCTGAAAACATCTTAAACTCCTTCAAAATAGGGAGTATTGCCCAACTTCAGGTGCATGAACTGTGACCTAGAATATATTATTCTCTAGTTCAGTTACAAGACAGGTGGTTTTCTGTTTCAGATTTGTAAATACTTTTAACGAGCTCATCACTGTCACAATGAGTGGGAAAATTTATGCAAATGTCAGCAGCAACAATGCCAGCAACTACCAGTTTTTTCCTTCTGGCGTGTAAGTACCTAGACTGAATGCTTCACTCAAAGGTTCAATAGTTTTTCTTTAAAAAATACACTGAAACTTTTAATGCCAAGAATGTTAACCAATATTATTCTTTCTTTTGATAGAAAAGGCTTCACAATAAGTTCAACAGAGATTCCACCACAATGTCAACCTAATTTCAATACTTTCTACCTTGAATTTGGTAGTGCTTATACCTATCTAGTCCGAAGGAAGGTTGGTAACTCGTTTCATTGTATCAGAAGATCTACTCGAACTCGATTGATACCCGAAGACTCACAAGCACTTAGGACATAGTGATTTAACTAGAGTGATATTAGGATGTGTATTTTAAATGGGCTTAGAATTAATTCACTTGGCTAATTCTTTAACTTACTGTTGACTTAATCATTAGAAAGAATCTAAACAGACTGACTTCCCCTGGAGAATAATTTATGTTAACCAATATCTGATGCCTCTTTATAGACTATTAACATGGACTTAAGGAACTCATAGTTCAAAGAGAAGGCAGTGTTTTAAAATGACTTCCAAACTACTCTTATCTGAAAGAAAAATGCTAGTGAACATATCTTCAAATCCCATCGCAAGTGTAAAATGTAGTGTTGCCTTATGTTTAAAATGTGTATGTACTTGACAAATCATATGATGTAACCCTAGAAGGTCAAACTCAATTTACCTGTTCGAACAATTTTTATTTTAGAAGCTATCTCAACTTCTGCTTTTTCCTTACTGCTGCAGAATGGCAGCTGCCCTGATGTGCAGTCATTTGAAGATATTTCAGCCAACACAGTTAACATGGCTCTGCAAATCCCGCAGTATTTTCTTCTCACCTGTGGCGAAGTGGTCTTCTCTGTCACGGGACTGGAATTCTCATATTCTCAGGTTTCTTGTTCGTTGTATTTACCACCCATCTGCTATACCCCTGCCTGCAGAAAATGCTGATGGGACTTAATTTAAATCTGGGATAACGATGTTTTTTAAAAGTCTAGAAAGCATTATGGTATCTTCCATAGAGCAAGGTCTCTGAGATCAACAAGTATTGTCCTTACTGAAGAAGAATTATTAGTCTCTTCAGCTTTGTGAGAGCATGTGTTCATATGTGTCTATAGATCCACAGTCATACCCTAGACATTTAGCATTCAGTATTTATTACTGACTGCTACCAGAGTGATAAAGGTCAGCAGATTCTCCTTTCTGAAACAACCAAATGTAACCGACCATTCATAAAACAGCTCAATTACAGGTCTATGTCCTCACGATAGGTTTGGTTGAGGTCTCTTTATAGCTCCCAGTAAACACACCAAATAAGGTCTAGCTTTAAAAATAAAAAAAATATTAGCTGAGCATGGTAGAGCACGCTTGTGGTCCCAGCTACTTGGGAGGCTGAGGCAGGAGGATTACTTAAACCCAGGAGTCCGAGGCAGCAGTGAACTGTGATCGCACCACTGCACTCCAGCATGGGCAACAGAGCAAGACACTGTCTCAAAAAAAAAGAAAAAAAAAAAAAGTTTAAAAGAATTACTGCTTTTAAGTGTATTAGACTAATGAGCTAGGTTTTATTGATACCCAAATTAGAGCTTAATTGTTGAACTGTGTTGTCAGAACTATAGTTATAGGCATTATAGCACACAATGCCTAGTACCATCAATTTTTATAGTAAAACAGCCAAGATGAGTCAGAAAATCACTTTCTGTGATAACCTCACAGGTTAATAAAGGAGATAACTGTAATACAGGTGACAGGTGTTTGAAGAGATATTTTGGAGATGTGGCAGGAAAGCCATAGAAGGGCAAGCTTGCAGCCCAGGGCAGCCTGCATTTGAGGGGAAGACTATGCCAGGCTGGGTGGCTTCGCTTGGAAGCTCTCCTGTAGAAACAGGATCAGCTCCTCTGTAGATGTGTCCATGTAACTAAGAGGACAGCTTTGCAAGGATGTGGAGCATGAAACACAGAGATTCTTATCTACTCACCTGTGAGTGTGTGGGTGTCTTGTTACTTAAGTGAAGATCCTTTTTACATTGAGGCCACCTGACTTTTCGTGTGCATTGTTAGGGTGCTCTGCTTCACTAAATGCCCATCAGTGAGCTGTGTTCTCGTGCTCGGAGGGTGACACCTGGAGCAGGACTCACTTTGCTTTGCTTCCTCAGGCTCCTTCCAACATGAAGTCGGTGCTGCAGGCAGGATGGCTGCTGACGGTGGCTATTGGCAACATCATCGTGCTCATTGTGGCAGGGGCAGGCCAGTTCAGCAAACAGGTATGGCGTGGGAGAGGAGATTGCACATCCCTCTGTCTTTCCTGTTCACGGCCATCACAGTGGCTCTCCCTAGCCCTGTCTGCTCTGTCTGGTCATCTGGGCTAATAGCTGGATTAAACTGCCAGACCAGTCAGGGCTGTTCCCAAATAGCCTTACGGCAAACTATCTGCTGATCCTTCTCCTTCTCCTTCTCCTTCTCCTTCTCCTTCTTCTTCGCCTCCTCTTCCTTCTCTCCCTCTCCCTCCTCCTCCTCTCCCTCTCCCTCCTCCTCCTCTCCCTCTCCCTCCTCCTCCTCTCCCTCTCCCTCCTCTTCCTCTCCCTCTCCCCCTCCCCCTCCCCCTCCTCCCCTCCTCCTTCTTTCTTCTTCTTCTTCTTCTTCTTTTTAGACAGAGTGTTACTCTATTGCCCGGCTGGAGTGGAGTTGCGCGATCTTGGCTCACTGCAACCTCCGCCTCCCGGGTTCAAGCGATTCTCCTGCCTCAGCCTCCAAAGTAGCTGGGCCTACAGGCGTCCACCACCACACCCGGCTAATTTTTGTATTTTTAGTAGAGACTGGGTTTCACCTGGATGGCTAGGATGGTCTCGATCTCTTGACCTCGTGATCTGCCCACCTTGGCCTCCCAAAGTGCTGGGATTATAGGCGTGAGCCACTGCACCTGGCCTGCTGATTCTTCTTATTTCCACTTGTTGTTAACGCAGCTGGAAATTGATAACCAAAATAGCCGGAATGGCTTAACTTGAAGTCACCCTTATGTGTTTTACTGTCAAGGGAAACATCTCTCCTAGCTTCAGTGAATGCAGCTTAGTAGCTGCCAAGCAGACACATGTTATCCTGAAACTTTCATAACACCTGGAGTTAAAGCCATCCTAGAGATGGTTATAATTTTTCCAGCCAAAATTAAATGAGGGCTCTACTGATACTTACACTCTTTCCTTCTGCACTGTAGCGTGTCTACCTCATAAGGGAGCTGTTATCCCATCCGTTTCATGACTTCCTGCACCAGGTGCCAGCAGCAGATGTGCTCATGCTGTGTGCTTATGAGCTCCAGGTGTTTCCAAGGGGGAACATGGTGCTCTTAACTTGCTAGAATTCAGCACATTCATTTTTCCCTCGTGGGCACTGCTTGCTCTTCTCTCGGTTCCCACCCTTCCAGGGTCCAGCCATATGTCTTAAGGCTTGAGGGTTTCAGACATTTTCTCTCATCTTCCCAAAGTCTGTTGTTTCTGTACCTTAGTGCTGTTCGAAGCATGTTGTCTATATTAGCATCTATCTATCTGGGACATTCAAGGAAAGCTGGCGCTACTGTATCTGTATTGGCTGCTTACTAATTTTCCATAATTTAACTTCAAAGCACACTCCACCTGCATGTAGCAAGAAAATGTACACACCGTATATTCCTCAATATGACCTGTTTTATTTTTGTTCTTTTTCCTGCTCCAACTCTGATTTCTTCACAGTGGGCTGAGTACATTCTATTTGCTGCGTTGCTTCTGGTCGTCTGTATAATTTTTGCCATCATGGCTCGATTCTATACTTACATCAACCCAGCAGAGATCGAAGCTCAATTTGATGAGGATGAAAAGAAAAAGAGCCTGGAAAACAGTAACCCATATATCATGTCGGGGGCCAACTCCCAGACAGAGATGTGAAGGTCAGGAAGCAAGTGGAGGATGGACTGGACCGGCAGATGCCCTGACCTCTGCCCCCAGGTAGCAGGACACTCCATTAGATGGCCTCTGGTGGGGAAGACTTCAGAATTGGAAACTAAACCATGAATGCTATTTTCTTTTTTTTTCTTTTTTCTTTTTCTTTTCTTTTTCTTTTTTTTTTTTTTTTTTTTGGAGACAGTTTTGCTCTTGTTGCCCTGGCTGGAGTGCAATGGCGCGATCTCAGCTCACTGCAACCTCCGTCTCCCAGGTTCAAGTGATTCTCCTGGCTCAGCCTCCCGAGTGGGCTGGGATTACAGGCATGCACCACCATGCCCGGCTAATTTTGTATTTTTAGTAGAGATGGGGTTTCACTGCGTTGGCCAGGATGGTCCCGATCTCTTGACCTGGTGTTCTGCCCACCTTGGCTTGCCAAAGTGCTGGGATTACAGGCGTGAGCCACCGCACCCGGCCGTGAATGCTGTTTTCTAAGCAGCCAGCAATGAATCTAAAACTCTGGAAGAAGTCTGCTGTTTGAAAGGCTTATTTAAGCCACATATACACACACTGTCTCAGAGCACTGAGAGCCCACCCTGCATTTGTCATCTTCCCGATCACACAAATGATGTTATTTTGGACTAGCTTAATCTTGAAAGCGTAACAAAGTTTCCTATTCCACATTGTTCATTTCTAACACTCATGAAAACTATTCTAAAGAAGGCAGGAGCCAAGGCTGCAAGTGAACGTGCAGGTTTGAGAATGGCTGTGATAAGGACCAGCTGGTATTAACTGATAACTTTGCCTTTGGGTTTTTGTTGTTTTGTCTTTCTAGTCCCTACCTCTATTTAAATTATGGATAACTCGAAAGACAGCTCATGTGAAGGCCAGTAATGATTTTTTTGAAGTTTCAATGGTGTGAAATAAATTTCTGTTCTTAATCATAAGTGCTCATGGGTCTTTGGGTAGGGTAAGAAATCTTTAACATACTATCTGATTATAAAAGGAGCACTGGTTCATTAAAAATTCTTCCTGGTCCTGTTTTCCCCAGGGATGATTGATTGATTGATTGATTGATTGATTGATTGATAGACAAACAAATAGATAAAGGTAGGTAGGTAGATAGATGATAGATACATAGATAGACAAACAGATAAAGGTAGGTAGATAGATGATAGATAGATAGATAGATAGATAGATAGATAGATAGATAGATAGATGTAGATAGATGATAGATAGATAGACAGACATAGGTAGGTAGGTAGATGATAGATTAGATAGATAGATAGGAGAGACTTATATTACTAGGACCTTCCTATGTACACATTTGTGTACCACTTCCTAGTGTTTTTCCCGATACCAACATTTTCTGCTGGCGTAAAAATTCTTCTAAAACATTGTAAACACCTAATGCCTAACTTATCCTATAGATGTTTATCATTTAGCCATCCCAGGTGTCAGGTCCAGAATGAGTCTACCTTGGCACTCCTACACAAACAAGCCACAGTTCTTAGACAAACTAGTGCACAACTCTGAAGATTGAAACTGGTTCCTGGATTGGAAGGAAGAGTTCGCATTTGGTCTCTAAAACGCTGGTATACAAGCTCGTCATTGCACCACAGGGGCTGCACTGAAGGGGAGACTGAAAGTCCAGAGTGAAACACAATGTGATGATCAAACCTGAACACTTTTTCTAGCCTTGGGATCAAGTCCTAATTCCTTGACTAGGGCCCGTGAGGCTCTTTTTCCCTCTGGACACACTCCCTTTCTCTCTATGCACTCGGATCCTGCCAGCATTGGGCTGCTGCTCCTTCCTGGAACACATCACATTCTCATTCCCAAAATAAAAGCCAAGAAAAAGAATATCCCAAGACACTTAATTCTCTACCCACCACCCCCAACCCTCCACCTGGCGAAGCCCTCTTCATTTTCACGCCATGTCCTCCAAGAGTTTTCCTGTCCTCCCTCCCTCCCATGCTAGGCTGTGGCCCTGCTCTGAGCTCTCGTAACACATCTTAACGTTTTCAAGTTGCACAGACCTCAGTGGATCATAACTATCTAGCTTTTCCTAGACCAGAAGTTCTGTATATCTTGTTCACTGTTCAATCTCTAGAACATAGTAATCCTCTATTTTTTAATTTTTAATTTTTTTTTTTTTTTTTTTAGAGACAAGTTTTCACTCTGTTATCCAGGCTGGAGTGCAGTGGCACGGTCGTCACTCACTGCAACCTTGAACTCCTAGGTTCAAGGGATCCTCCCACCTCAACCTCCCAAGTAGCTAGGACTACAGGTTTGTGCCACCACACCCAGCTAAGTTTTTAATTATTTTGTAGAGGCAGGGTCTCACAGGCTGGTCTCGAACTCCTGGGCTTAAGACCTTCCAAAGTGCTGGGATTACAGGCATGAGCCACCAAAACCAGCCCTAATGCTAACTCTTACAGTTGCTGTGTAACTTTGGGCAGGTTTTGATCTTTTTAATCTCATTTCCTCTCCTATGAAATAAAGAGAATACCAGGTAGACAATGTGAGGTCTTAAAAATCCTTTATTTGGCTGGGTCCAGTGGCTCACACCTGTAATCCCTGCACTTTGGGAGGCTGAGGTGGGCGGATCACTTGAGGTCAGGAATTTGAGAGCACTCTGGCCAACATGGTGAAACCCCATCTCTATTAAAAATATGAAAATTAGCCAGGCATGATGGCACGTGCCTATAATCCCAGCTACTCGGGAGGCTGAGGCAGCAGAATCACTTGAACCCAGGAGGCGGAGGTTGCGGTGAGCTGAGATCACGTCACTGCACTCCAGCCTGGGCGACAGAGTGAGACTCCATCTCAAAAAATATATATAAAAATAAAAAATAAATCCTTTGTTTAAGGGTGCCTGGCACACTTATTCATGTATTTGAATGAAGGCCGTTGTCATGCCCCTCAACCAAGTCTGATATTAACACATAGTGTGCTTCGAGTGTGAGTAACTATCATATAGTGTGCTTTGCATATGGGTGGAAATGATGCCTACAAGCTCTTCTTCAACCTTTGATGGACAAGCAGAGAGTGCAGAGGGGAGCTTGGGCATTTTGCCCATCAGGATTGACTTTTCAGAGTAATCCTCCCTCTGGCTCTCATTTGGCCACTTCCAGGCCTAATCAAGATGGACAGACGCCAACACGGGTGCCCTCTTTGCAAGACCTCACGCAATTACAAATGTCATGGATGGGGGTGGTGGAGGGGAACGCGGAGGCCACACCAGTAACCTCTGCTTTTCTGCACTTTCCTTGCAGTTCATTTTTTTTTGTTTTGTGCCTTTCTCTAAATTCCACGCCAACCAATGTATAACCAAAATAGTACACTGACTTGACCATTGTCTATTAAAATACAATTCAGCATGGGTTGGGAGGAGCTAAAGAAGCCCCTGGGATGGAAATGCTTTAATTGGACATAGCAGGACTTCGTATCTTACTCCTAAAAGCCAGCATACCTTGACAAGTGTTCACAATGCATATATGAATATTTTTCATGTTGGCCTATTCTTGTTTTGTTTCTATGTGCTCCGTAATTTTTTTTCTTTTCTTTTCTTTCTTTTTTTTTTTTTTTTTTGAGACAGAGTCTCATTCTGTCACCCAGTCTAGAGTGCAGTGGCACGATCTTGGCTCACTGCAACCTCCACCTCCCAGGTTCAAGCGATTCTGCTGCCTCAGCCTCTTGAGTAGCTGGGATTGTAGGTGTGTGCCACCACGCCCGGCTAATTTTTGTATTTTTAGTAGAGACGGTGTTTCACAATGTTAGCCAGGCTGGTCTCAAACTCCTGACCTCAAGTGATCCGTCTGCCTCAGCCTCCCAAAATGCTGGGATTACAGGTTTGAACCACCATGCCCAGTCAATTATGTTTTTCATTTTGTGAATGTTCTTTCAGGGCACTAAAATATTTGTTTTGATATCTCTTTTAGATGTTATAAAATTAGTTAATGTATGTCCAGATTTGATTTTTGTTGACTATTTTAGACATAGATTTTTGTCATGCATTCTGGAATATTTTTGGTAGCCTTTTTTTTTTTTTTTTTTTTAAGCCCAGGTCTAGCTCTGTCATGCAGGCTGGAGTGCAGTGGCACCTTCTTGGCACACTGCAACCTCTGCTTCCTGGGCTCAAGCTATCCTCTCGCCTCAGCCCTGCAAGTAGCTGGGACTATAGGTACAAACCACCACACCCTGCTAATTTTTATAGAGACAGGGTTTCACCATGTTGCCCCAGCTGGTCTCGAACTGCTGAGCTTAAACAATCCACCTGCTTCTCAAAGGGCTAGAATTACAGGCATGAGCCACCGAGCCTGGCCTGGTAGCTTCTTTGTTTTTTGGAGTCGGAGTTTTGCTCTTGTTGCCCAGGCTGGAGTACAATGGCCAGATCTTGGCTCACTGCAACCTCCGCCTCCCAGGTCCAAGCAATTCTCCAGCATCAGCCTCCTGAGTAGCTGAGATTATAGTCACCTACCACCATGCCTGGCTAATTTTTGTATTTTTAGTAGAGATGGGGGTTTCACCATGTTGGCCAGGCTGGTCTCGAACTCCTGACCTCAGGTGATCCACCTGCCTCGACCTCCCAAAGTGCTGGGATTACAGGTGTGAGTCACTGGGCCAGGCCAGGCCACCTCCTTTCTCAATGACTAACAAAAGTGGTGAGTATTTATTGAACACTGAGTATGTGCAGACAGCATGCCAAGCACTCTCTTGAATGAAATTTACAAGCATGCAATCCTTGCCACAGCCCTGTAACGTAGGTTACCATTACCCATTCCCATTCCACAGAGGAGAAAACAGGCAGGGCGAAACCAAGTACCCTGCCCCAGGCCATCCCAGTCCTGCTCCACAGCCCAGCTGCCAGTTATTGCGCAGAGCCGCCTCTCACTGCCAATGCTCAATGGACAGTCCTTATAACTAAACTAAGGAAGCCTTTTTTATTCCCATTTTAAAGACACGGAAACCGGAGAATGTGAAGTTTAAGTAACTGGTCCAAGGCCATATATCTGGCAGCTCGCTGAGCCAGGATTTGAACCCAAGCATGTCTGGGCAAAGGAAAGCCCTGTTAACCATGACACTATGCCGTCTTTGTTCACATAACAGAAAGCAAACTTGTGATGGCTGAGGCCATGGAAAGGCGGCAAGGGAAGGCAAAGTGGGCACTGAAGGCCTGCAGAGAGGGAAC